ACCCCCCCCCCCCCCCATCGGTGGGGATAGCAGGGAGGTTAGGCCTGCTTTGATTTACAAAACAAACAAACAAAAAAAAGACAAAACAAAAGAAAAAAAATACAAAAAAAATAAAGAAAAGAGAAAAAAAAAAATAGAAACAAAAACTGGGGGAGGGAGGGGGAAGAACAAACTCCCGTCTTCTTAATTTTGATTCGTGTCCTTTTTTCATTTCATGTGTTTTAAAGCGAGATCAGCAGCTCGTCCTCGGTAGAGTTACAAACCTAAAAGACCAGATTTAAAGCACTCGGTAGTTGAAACGGAAAACCACAAACCTGGGAGCGGACTGGGGTCAACTCCTTTCTTTTTCAGTTCCCGTGGTGGCCAGCGAGCCCTTTCCTCAGGAGCCCGAATGGTTTCCCTTTGAGTTGATGTCCTTCGGGTGCCCAGCACCTGCAGAGCAGTGAATTATTCTTGGCTATTGGATCATTTCATCCAGCCCCTCAAAATGCATGCACCGAAAGGATGCTTTTATTTAAAAAAACAAAGCCCCAGACAGGTGTATTTCTCCTATTTCTCCGAGTTCTGTCATATCCCGTATCTGCACTTTGGGTTTGTAGCAGCGACGACGTTTGGTAAAATAGCTGAGGACTTTGTTACAAACCGTGAATGTCTTGTGCTTACTCTGGTGTGCAAGAAACAAGGAGGTGCTTTCAGAATAACTTGAGTTTTATTGTGGTTTTTTGTTTTTACTGCCCTTTTTTTTTTTCCTCTCCCCCTCCCTTAAGAGTTGCAGGTACAGTGGGGTCTGGTTCCACAAGTGCAAACTCTGAGCTTCTCTCCAGAGATGGTTTTAATTCTGTGATAATTTAATTACATGGAAGTTCTCATTAACGTTTTACCTCGTTGTTAATAGCAAGGAGCTGCTGTCTGCCAGGGACTTTTCAGGTACAGTGCAGTGGGCATTACATGAGGTTTCTCATTTTGTAGTGGCTTTTTAGCATCTTGGAGGAGTAGTCAAAGTGCTCCGAGATGCTGAGGTTTGAGCTCTTGTTCCTGTGATTCTTGGAGGAAACGGTTGCTTTTTTTTTTCCCCAGTAACTTACTCATTTGCTCTTCTTTTCCCCACTCATTGGGCGCTTTTCCCCGGCTGTCTCGGCCACCTCACTCATACGAGGAGGGAAGAAGGGATTGAAATCCCTGTTATTTTGTTGAACAACCCAAAGGATGCTGCAGCTGGCCTCTAAACCGAAGGGGAAGTCTGACTGTGCCTGTTTACAGGCCCCCAAAATTGAATCTTGCACTTAAACCCAGAATGTAGCCTTGCACTTAGCCGTGTTTTCAGAGACTTGGGCGACGTAAAGCGATGCTGCTTTCCTCGGTCCATCCTCCAATGATACAGGGACGAGTTGGTTTCTGTCTCAATGTGCACGTCACGAAAGTGGAGTTCAAAATGCAGACCAGGAGATGAAGGAGGAAATGTCTTGAATGTATTTTACGAGCACAGCTGTTCTGAAGTGGGTCTGTGCTCGAGATTCGCTGTCACAAAAAGGTGCCGTTCTGGAGGTCCGCTTTGCTGACCCGCTCGTCACAGGGTGCTTTGGTTGCAGCCTTGATTTCTTTATCAGCCTCGTAGTGAGGAGCCGTTGCATCCCGAGCATCGCGGTGAGCCGAGAACTTGAACGTGGCAGCCTCTCTTGACAACAGCTTTTGGTTTTCCAGCTGCTTCTCGTTTGAAATGGAAGCGTGCAAACCTCATTTAATGCTCTGAGATATTTGAGGGTAAAATCCAGCGTTTCTGGGTTGTCGTCCTTCAGCGCCAATGTAACCGATGGCAGAGCTCAGCCTTACTGTTAACAATGAGAGGTTTTCGGAATGACACCGATAAGGCAAGTGACGAGATGTTTGAGAAGACACAGCGTATTTACCACTTACTGCAAAGAATGTTTTCATTCGGGGGGGTGTCTGTTGCGTGTCAGCAGTAACCAACGCCGCCGCTCGCTCACCTGAGGGGCTGCTTGCTTTGGGAGTGAGTTTTCTCCTTGCGTCTCACAGGAGTCGCTTGTGAGCGCCGAGCTTTCAAGGAAAGAAACTCGAACCGCTGGGAATTCCAATCTGCCCCAAACCAAACCTGAAAAAGCACTGATATTTGTGTTCAGCAGTGATATTGGTGTTCGGCACTGGGACGCGTGCAGAGCGGTGTTCGTTACGCTGATCCGCGGTAGGCACCTGGTTTTAAAAACCCGTAAAACTTGGGGTCAGCACAGCTCGGCAAAACAAACTCGGTGGTTTTGGAAAGAGCATCCGAGGTGCACTTCCGTTTTTCCCTTGTAAAATAGCGGTGGTTACGCCGGCCACAGGCCTTTATGAGTCAAAATTGGGCTGCGCTGGAGGGCAAGAAGGAACAGGCGAGGCTGTGCTTGACTCCAGGTTTTCCGGTTCCTTATTTAACTGGAGTACCTGCTTCTTTAAATCTGGTTTATTTGTGGTTACTACTCTGTTTTTGGAAAAGCAAGGATTTTAACACCCTTTGAGGGTGCTTAACGGCAAAACCTGGTTGACTGGCAACGTTTTGGGGGTTGTTTTGCCAGCACTTAAGTCCCCGTGCTGCCGTGGAGGCTGCTCCGGCTCAGTCGGCTGCGCTTCTCTCTCAGGTTCTGAACCATTGGAGTCAAATGTCCCAAAAATCGGCTGGGCCGGGGCTGACCATGAGTAAAAGTCCGTATGTAAAACCACTTCTGTACAGAGCAGAGCAGATGTAGCAGAGTTGGGCGCTCTGGTCGCGTTTGGTGTCACGGCGAGAGCTCGGCGTTTCCTCCGAGGTCGTGCGCAAAGTGCGCAGCCGATGTTCCGATATTTCATTTGCGTGCAAAAACGGAAAAAAAAAGTAGAAGATCTCCTTTTCCTGCATCATTTCACAGTTTGGGGGGGGGAAAGAACCTCAAATGACTCACGCTTTTGGTGAAGATTTTGTTTTCTTTAGTTTTTCAATGGGAAACTTGACGCAACTTCCTTGGCCCTTGGCCAGTGGCTTTGTTTGCTCCCAACCAGTGACCGCTCTGGGTGCTCAACCGGGGCTGCGGCTCCGTAGAAGATCTCCTTTTCCTGCATCATTTCACAGTTTGGGGGGGGGAAAGAACCTCAAATGACTCACGCTTTTGGTGAAGATTTTGTTTTCTTTAGTTTTTCAATGGGAAACTTGACGCAACTTCCTTGGCCCTTGGCCAGTGGCTTTGTTTGCTCCCAACCAGTGACCGCTCTGGGTGCTCAACCGGGGCTGCGGCTCCAACGCCGAGGTTACCCTCGACTCCAGAGGTTTCTGGCTTCGACGCATCCTTGTAAGCATCCGAGAGGAGGGCGTTAAGTGCCAGGCAGAGAAATCATCCCCTCTTTTCTCTTTTTTTTTGTCGTTGTTGTTTTTAATTCATATTTTTGTTTTCTTTAACAAGGATGTGAAAAGATGGAAATATTTTGGTGACAACTTGGCTCAGCCCCCTGTGGAGGGCGGAGAGGAGAAGTGTCCATTGATTTTTTTTCTCTCACATCCGATTCGATGGTAACCGAGGTGAAAAGCCTTAAGTATTGAGGAGGAGGAGGAGGAGTGAATCGAAATTGTGAAGACAGGTTCCAAAACTCTGAGGACTCAGGGAAAAAAAACAAATGGCTTGGAAAATCGCAGTTCCTGGCTTTAAGGAAAGCAGTGTCGAGGGCAGCAGAAAAGAGTGAAAACAGAGCTTTTTTGGGGTTCTTTCCCCTTCGTTTCCCCCCTTCAGTGCTTTCCGCAGATGGCACCGAAGGACAGAGGTTCCAATGCCGAGGTGGTTTTTGCATTGGGCTTAAAGCGGAGCGTGTATGGCTCAGAGCGTGGCTCAGTGAATACTCGACTTCAGGCAGATTTGGTTGTGTGAGGAATGGTGGCTGCTGAGAAACGGTAACAGTTTTCAATTCCAGTGGATGTGTCTTCGATCTGACCTTTTAATATTGGGGTTATTGGAATTACGTGGCGAAAGGAGGGCAAAGGAGCAACGTCTTGACGCTGCAAGTTCGTGTTACTGTCGATAAGTTGCCTCTTAGAGGAAAGTCAACCGAATTGTCAATAATCCGGTTGGTTTTTCTCATGGTAAATGAATTCTTTTGATGGGTCCCATTAACTGTTACTGAAAGTTGGGTAATCAGCAGTACTGTGAGCCTGGTTTTAACCGAAAAGAAGCCCTGTGCTACATCTATACCTGGAAGGTGACTTCACGGCGAGGTTTCCTGCCCGAAAGTCCAAATTGAATAGTCAGAAAAAAGCCTTGTAGCTCTTTAGGTCCATCTGTATAATGTAGGGAAGGGGAAAAAAGCCACACAAAGAAGTCTGTTGTTGTCCATTTGTATTGAAATAACGTTTTCTTCCCTCCTGCGAACAAAGCTCTGGTGGACTGCAGAAGAGAACAGCATAGGATCCCAAGCTCGAACGGACCTTTGGGAAGAGAAGCCGCGGCTCGTGTGGAAATTACACGGGCCCGGTGACGGAAGAAAGCTTATCTGTTTAGTATTTGTGCGTTTTACTAAAATGGCAGCTTTAAAAAAAAACAAAAACAAAAAAAAAAACAAAAAAAAAGTTGTGTATCTGCTATTGTGATGCCAATGCCCGTGTTTTAAGTGGAAAAAAAAAAAAAAACCCCTCTTTGCTTTGTGCTGTGTACACAAGATTGCTGGAAAAGTAAAGGAATACCCTTTTTATGGCTCACACAGCTTGAAAAGTAGCTGTCACTCAAACATG